TTAACGTAAACGGTTAAGTTTAACGTAACGTTTATTTTTAAAAAAAAGTTAAAAGTAAAGAAGGGAGGGGGAGGAGAGAGAGAGAGAGAGAAACGAGAGAAATGTGCAAAACGCGAATAGTGATAAAACAAATGTACATTTGTAGATTCCGTTTTCCATTATGTATGTGCGATTTTTACCGCCGTACTTCCTGCAGTTTCACATGAATTTTCCGCAATGTAGCTGAACTCCACGCCGCGTTTTCTAGTACATCTTTCCGTAAACTTCGCCCGCTGCCGCAGCGTTATTGTTTGTCGGAGTACAATTGTCTCGACTTAAGAGCGAAGTGTAAAAAGACGCAGTTAGAGCCTAAAGAGCGCGATCGAGATCTCGGATTTGTTTCTCTCAACTGTAACTTTCTCCTCAAACACCTTCTCAGACGCGAGGACTTTTGTCTTTTTTCCCTTTTCTCGAAAGTCTAAGCGCGCGCTTATCGCGACGCGCGAGGTGCGAGTGAATTCGCGTTGGAAAGAGAGAAATGTTGCGGGGCAACTAATCAGGGTAAACTAAAACCGCGATCTATTCCATTCTATTTCTGTTCAAATTTGTTAATTCACTGAATAACGGAGTCACTCGTTAAAACTCGCGTGCTCCGATCTTTGCTCCATTTCTTAAACGCGGACGTGACACTTGAAAGGAGCTGAACTCGCACGCGTGTTCCCCCGCATCCGGGAAAGATTATACGTTCACGATTACCCTATCCTTCTCCTGTCCCTCACCCCTCGACGCCCATTTGCGGAAATCGGAGAGAGAGAAAAACCGGCGAAATCGCACCGAGGTTCCCCTCGCGATGAAATAAAGGAACGAACCACTCACCTCTCGCGATGCAGCAGGCAGATACGCTCCTTGGCGACCTTCAGCTTCTTGGAAATGATCTTCTTGAGATTCTCCACGGTGTCGTTGCGATCCACCGTGAGATCGAATTGGCCGCCGGTAGTCGGCGTGATGCACACGGTGATCTCGTCCTTGTCGACCGCGGTGGCCGCGTTGGCCGCGGCCACGCAGCCACACCCCGGCTGCGGTGCCGGCGGCAGCTGCGGATGCGACGGCGGTGGCGATGGCGGCGGCGGCGGTGGCGGCGGCGGTGGCGGAGGCAGCAGCGATGGCGTCGTCGTCGTCATCGTCGTCGGGCAGGAGGTAGCGGTGGAGCCGCGCGGCCCCGGGAACGCGGCCCTTATCGAGCTCCGGTCGCGGCACTCGATAGGGTCGCCGGCGGCGTCGTCGCCGTTGATGATGTTGGTGCTGGTGCTGGTGGTAGAGGCGGCACTCGCATCATCATCATTGACCATCCGCATCTTCGACGTGGTAGTCGCGGCGGCGACGGCGGCGTCGTCGGTCTCGCTTCCCATCGCCGTCACGTCCGACGTTCGCGACGGACCCGTGGTGTCGTCCATCCTGCCACGGTGCTACGGGGGACTACCGTCGACCGAGCGGCACTGCGAAGAACCAAGAACTTTTTCTATCTTTCTCTCTCTTTCTTTTTTCTTTTTCCCCAACCGAGCACGAAGAAGACAACGACGGCAAGGACGAAGACGGTCGGTCGACCGGTCGCGCTCGCGACTACGCTTTCCGCCGCTACGCGCTCGCGTGTACGTCCCACCGTCTGCCCACCTCCTTCTCCCGCTTCTCCTCCCCCCTTTTCCCTTATCCCCGCCGTCGACTTCTTCTTCACCTTCCTCCCCCTTGCCCGGTTCGCGGGACCTCGCGCTCTCCTACGTGTTCGCGTCGCGTACGTCGTCGTTGCCGCCGTCTATATGCATGCACCTGCACCTGTACTCCTCCCGGCACGTCTCCCCGCCACTTCTTCCTTTCCCCCTCCCAACCCTCTGCCGCTCGACGCGAGCGGAGCGTCGGACGAGCGAAGGCAGCCGGCAGCACCCCGAGGAGAGCGACTGCCGTCGCGCGGAACGCGCACGCGGCGAAAAGGAGGTGGCGGACAACAAGCGACGGGGACGAAACACGAAGAGGGAGAGCGGGAGAGAAAGACACAGGGAGGGAGAGCAGGGAGAGACGTGCGCGGCGCGCAAGAGGCAGGCGGAATTTCTGGCGTCGGCGGCGCACGAGGAGATCGCCACGGGAAAAACGGAGGCGACGATATAGCAACGCGATCGATAGCAACGCGCGATAAAGTCGCGAGCAAGTAATCGCGAGACCCCGCTAGCCTCGGGAGGGAAGTGAGGGAACACTAGTCACTGCTTCGTACCTCCTCCTCCTCCGTCTTCGCCTCCTCCTCGACGGCACTGTGAGACACACCACAGACAAACGCGACGACTCTTCTCCACCTTCCGCTCTTTCTCCTTCACAAGTGGCAGACTTCGTGTTCCTTCTTCCTTGTTCTGCGTCTGGTGCCTCTTCTTTCTTTCTCTCGAGAGATCCTGTCTGCCTCTTTTTCTCGTATACGTTATCTTTCGCTCACGCACTCCACGTATTCACGGCACGCACGTACGCACGCACACGACCCGCCCTCGAGCGCTCGAATCCTGCGACTAGCAACCGAAAACCGGAGCTCCCGGAGCTTCTGCTAAATTCCCAGACCCCCGGCGGTCGCCGTACCCGTTCTACGAGCGAATGCGCGGTCGAAGCGGCACGACGCGAGCCGAGTTGAGCCGAACGCAATCGTATTGACGAAGCGGCCCGACACAAGCCGAGTCGTGCCGAGCATGGTCGTGCTGCCGAAATTAGCCGAGTCGAGCCAAGCGCGGTTTATTCGAATTAATTACTGACTTCGATCAAATTCCGATTAAGTTCTCAATATCTATATTTCTTATTGATATCGATGTTTAAATTAATTTTTTGTAAACACATAATATGGCACACACATAAATGATAAAAATAGAAATGGACACACGATGAATCATGTAGAAATTTTAAGCGATCTTGTCGATTGATCATCATTATTATAATTAACTGGCAGTTGTTAATTGCTATATAATCATTAACTTGCTATTGTTAAAGTAAAACTTGTGATTGTTTCCAAGGCAGTCGTGTGAGTTCATTTTTTCATTTTCAAATATTCTTTAAATATTTTTAATATTTTATAATTTCCTTTTTTGTATACAAAATGAAAAAATGAATGCTCTTATTTTAATGAACGAATGTTACGTTTTTTACTTTTTGTGTAGAAATTTTTCTGAAAATTAAAACAGAATACCGAGAAAAAAAATGTTTTTTTATAGCATACACATCACATTCTTATGATATATAGCCATGTTATAAAAAGAAAGAAAGTCACAAACCTTATATTGTAATGGACACTAGAAAATATTTAAAATAAAATTTAGAAATCTAATATGAGAGAAAAACATTGTAGTATGGCTTAAAAGATATCTAGAAAAAATAGTGATGAAGAAATATTCTAAATCAACTAAACTTTATATTAATAAAAGTTTGTTATTCTATTGTCAAATGATATTCTTGATCTGACATAAATAATATTCTAAAAAACTTAAATATCTTAATTTTTATCGACAATATTTATAATTTCATTTAATGAGGCTAATTGATGAAAATCGAGTGATAACAAATCAAGTAATGACTAAGTTTTAAATTTCTATCTATTAAGAATTCTTGTAAAAAGATATGGGATTGACCAAACGGTAAGAGAAAATTTCTTTATTTTTCATAAAATATCTTTGCACTTATTAGTTTCATAGAAATTTTTACTACGAGAATATTTTGATATAACTTTGAACTTATCAATCGATCTTGACAAGTCTAGGTCCATTGTATATTTTCTTAACAATTATAGTAAACAATTCGTTGTAATAGCGAAAATTTAAGAATACGATAAAATCGTGTTGTAGTGAATAAGATATTTAAAATAAGATATTTCGATGATTAAGATAGTTAAACTCAGATGTGTATAATACATGCATATATTATAAAGCAAAAAAAGCAGTAAAAAAATTCTTTTAAATATTTTACTATATCAATGAAAGTGATGTAGTAATTCCAAGAAAAAAAAAAGAATTTGCAATTGCAACACGATATATGGAAGAAAAAAATCACAATTACAGTTCCTTGAAGTATTCTTTGTACATACTTTGCTGAATTTAATTTTAAATTTACAATTAGCTTTCTTCGTTAGAGCATTCTCTTATTGTCCAACAATCTTATAATTTTCTGTCTTGATTCATAAGTATATCTATCTATGTGATATGTAATTCACACATACACAAACACATACATGTAGTGATATCAATAATAACATTCTTACAAAATGTACTTTACAGACAATCCTGTCATGTATACATGTATGTACACTTTCCTTGATATGATACAATGATTAATAAAATGATTTTGATTAAAGCTTATACATATAATTTACATTGTTTAATTTGGCAAGTCTAGCTAAAATAGAAAGTCAATTGACCACTGGTAAATTTATATTGAAAAAAATCTACACGCTATAAAATTATATATTTACAATTACACCTCAAAGAATTTGAGGATCTAAAAGTATCATACGTCATTTAAGATGACATTACTTTCCAAGCTCGGGATGAGTTAAAAATATATCTATTTCATAAAAATGTCGATCAAAAAATATATCATTGTGCATTGCAGATTTAAGTGACGTACCAGCGTAAAGGAACCGGTAATGCGCCAAATATGATCACGTCATTTATCTTCACTTTATGTATATCTAGTTTGTGTAGTACGTATATCTTGTATGATACACATACATTCCGCAGATATTTCTCTTGTATTATATGTTTAATATTCGATATAATAAAATTTAAATTCCATCTATTGTTAAAACTAATGAACGATAGATAAAATTTCGTCTAAATTGTTGAACTGTTGAACAATCTTTGAATAAGAGAAAAATTAAGGCTAGGTTAAATGTTTGTATGCAAACGCGTTTCCGCGTGCGCAAGGGACGCAAAAATTCATGATCCAAATTCTATCGTGTCTTGTTCGATCGGCTTGAACTCGTAGTCTCCTCTGCCGTCCATGTGTAAGTAATACTAGAAACAGTAAATAGAAAATAATGAACGCGATAATAAAACAACACTAAACTCACTGAAACTCACTAAAGTCACTGAATATAAATTCGTTTTTCATAAAATTAATCATTACCAAAAAGAAAAGACAAATCGATATTAATACCTCGTGATGCTTCCAAAGAGAGCGACGATGCGAGACCGTGAACAGCGTAATGTTCTCTTGTCTGCAATATTTATACATAGAATCCTCGACGTCGACGCTGACAGCGCTCGTGCACTCATCCAAAATCGCGAATTGCGGTTTATGATAAAACAATCGAGCCATCTTTGTAAATAAAAGAAGGAATTGAGAAATATAAACTTAGCGCTATCGTGATATAATAATAATAATATAGTAAAAAATAAATATAAATAATATGCTCGTATTATTTAAATTATCAACTAATTCTATGATTAGGTAATCTAAGTCTGTTCTATGATTAGATAGTGATTTGTTCTTTTAGTTAAATTTCTTACATGATTTATCTTTTTTTTTCTCTAACATGGAAAAAAATAAGTTAGTTAAAACAAGATATAATTAAAAACAAGATAGCAATTTAAAGCAAATTTTTTCATATGATTAATAATGTTATTAATCATCTTGAAAAACGTAAGAGAAAAACAAAAACTCACTGCAATACGTTGCTTTTCGCCACCTGATAAGACATCCATCCAATCGGCGACCGTATCCCAACCCTGTCCTTCGCTGTTGGCGTTGTTTTCTCTTTCCAACAGATGAATCAACTGCACAAGTTCCAGGAACTTCTTGAGGTCCTCATCGTTAACATTACCGCGCCTTATCATCTCAGCTTTCGTATGGGGATATATAATCTGGTCTCTCAATGTACCCAGAGTCATGTAGGGACGTTGCGGAATATAAAATAATTTACCGCGCGGTGGTTTCGTAATGGTTCCAGACCAGACCGGCCACAACTAAACATTATGATCGGAAAAATTAATAACATTACTGCGTTAAAACGCTACTCACATAGATAACTCCAAGCTTAATTTATCACTTTCAGTATCAGATCATAATCTAGAAAAGACATTAAGAATCGTATCATATTACGATTTAATCAACACTAATAAAATCAATTCAGTCAAAGACGATAACGAAATGATTTATGAAATGAATAATAAACAAAAACAATATAGATAATGCAGTACATATATATAGACACATACTTCACCAAGAATCCTAAACATGGAACTTTTGCCGCAACCGTTCGGACCGCAGACCAGTACATTCATCCCCGATTTCACTTCGAAGGACAATTCCTTGATGAGCACGTCTCCGTTCGGTGTCACTAAAGGAACGTGATCGAATCGTATGACATTATCACGCGGCACAATTTTGCCATTACCAGGAAAACCGATCGCATTATCTTTATAATCCGAAATCATCGTTCTCTCATACTTCCCGGCATTCAGATCATCGAGGACTTTCTTGATCTCGGTGACCCGCGCTGTGAATCCTGCTAAGCGTGTTAATTCCCTTCCAGCCATCACCAATCGACCGATCGCTTCAGCTAGTTTCACCAGCATCCGACCGTATGTATAGTACGATTTAAACCTGTGATCGGGTGTGCCGGAGAGTATGGGATGATTCTTCTGGAAGAAGGGGATGCTTACTGCGTAGAAACCAACCACAGTAGCGAAATCTGAAAAAAGAAAATGATAATATTAAAAAATATAAACACAATTGTTCGATAAATTGCGATATTAACATGATAGTTTATTACTATATAAATCACATCTTACATTTTCCGACGAAATTATCTACGACGCCCATCAAGACCTTGAATTCTAAGAATTTACGAAGATGAGTTATCTACAATAAAGAAACACAAATGACAATGCAAAAATAACGATAGTATTGATAAGCGTATATAAATAATCTCAAAAAAACAACTTACAAGTTTGTGAAAGCTAGTTAATAACGTCAATTTCTCTCTGTTATTTCCTCCATAAAAAGCTATTTCTTCCGAGTTAGTGATCAATCTTGAATTGATATGACGATATTCTCCTTCTAGTCGTTGCTCTTTGACCGTCATTGTTCCGATAGGTTTACGAAGATGAGTCAAAAAGGTGCCAGCTACTATTAGGTATAAAAGTATCAAGAATGGTGTCTGGAAAAAGGAAAATTATCTGTAATGTATAATGTTATGATTACTAATGTCCATTTTTAGTAATGTAAATTAATTCTAATTCTTTTAATCTTTAATTTAAATTTAACTCGTTATCTTTTTCTAACGCTTGTAACTAAAAAAAGAACATAAGTTAAAGCGAGATTAAAATTAATATATATTTATAATACACATAAATGAGAAATAAACGCTTGTGTGTACCTGCCCGCCAAGAGTAGATGTTAATCTATATACATAAATACCAATGTCCAATAGAGGTTTCGCTACATTGCTATAAAGATCTGTACAGCTTTCACAAAATTTGTCAACATCTGTAGTCAACAGTTGATCTGGATTCGCGATACGGGTATCCAGATTGCTCATTTTATAATAGGTAAAGCCTCTGCAAAAAAAAATTCAGTTTTAAATATTTTAAATAATTTAAATAAATGCTTTGTGGCAACATTTTTTATTATGTAAAAAAATGTTACATGTAAAATATCTCTAATTTATTTTAGTCATAAATTATTCAAGCGTAAGCTTGAACAATACTGCCAATATCAGTGGCAAACCAAGTTCTTGCAATGTCATGTACAAACGAGAATACAAAAACATACGCGCATCGTGCATATGATAAAAATACATTAGTTCCAAGAGTATCGTTTTATAAATGAGAAATTGAAATGAGTGTATCTTTAACACCGGGGCAGGATTAAAATATACAAAAAATATATGTTTACTTACTTAAGATAATGATCCAACAAATTACGTGTGATATTTGTGCGCAATCTCAACTTCATTTCACTTATACCATATTTTAGTATGTTGTTTACAATTGATATCTAAATTAATACAATACAGAGAATATTAACATATTAACATTAACTTTTTTTGGTAGGTAAGTTGAAGCTACATTAGTAGCTATGCTATTTAAAAACATAAGACTTCTATTATCACATTATGCATACAATCTTCAGATTAACAATACCAATATTGTATTCTACTTACTAGCGGTATCACAGAGAACAGAGTTAGCAAATATTTTCTGAACAATGGTCCATCCATATTAACAATTGACCTGGTGACATACAAGATTTTGGGTCAGAGAGATAAGGTTTTTAAGTATTACTAATACAAAAGATTACTGCACATACGTTTCTATCAGAGTGCTTTTCTTGATGAGCCATAAGTCGCACAGGGTCCTACCGACCAGGGCACTCGCCACTAGGAGCACATAGCCAAACTCTGGTGACAAGACACCAGGGATGCCAATCCTGAGCAACTGACAGAGCCTGTGAAAGAAGATGGCATTGACCTGTGCCTTGGGGCCCTTTGGCTTTTCCTGTGGAGGTTACAATCAATGCAATCTCAACCCATGTTGTTGGTCCCAATTTATATTCTTACCTCCTTAATGACATACTGAATATCGTTGCCGACAGGCCACTGGTCCCTACAAACATACTGTTACTCAATGACAATCGTAAGAGTGAAAATCGCACGCGTGCGGCCAAGATTAACGCGCAGATACTTACTTGATCTTCTGCGAGCGTCTCCTGCTGCGATTCCTCAGTATCCAGATCAGCGTGCTGACTGCCACCGCACCGGCCAGGGTGCGTCTGGTGGCAAATTTACTGAGGGCCGGTGCCATCTCGGTGTCGGGTTCGCTCGCGTGTTACCAGTTACACCGTCCTGGCGCGACGGCTTGACTATCGCGCGTGGCCTTTGCAGCATAAAGTCGAGGACACGGACGAGCGGACGAGTCGAACGACGTAGTCGCGCGAGCAGTGGCGGGTAACGATGCTGGTGGGAGACGGCTGGGCAAGGAGAGAAGGTAAAAGAGAGAGGGCACAGCGTAATCAGCAGCATTCCGCGTGGACTTTCCGCGATCGCGTAACAGCGTGCACGATACACACACGCGCGCGAGCCACGAACGCCTGCTACGCGCGAACAACAAGGATGAAACCAGAGATCGCGCTCCCACACCATTTTTAACTTTCTTCCTCTCTCCCTCCATCAAACCCGCGTGGATCCTGCAATCGTCGCGCGCGCACGCCGCTCTTTCTTCCGCACCGGCGGCGAGAGAGCAAAAGAGCTCGGAGTCACTCGAAATTGCGATGTTCGCCGCGGCTGCGGACGACATATTTCATGGCTGTGGCACGATGGTACTCGAGATTCCCGAAGTCGGGATCTCACGGATGAAGCGATGAAAACTCGCGATTTCTCCGTTATTTCAGAAAATCAAATATATAAAGTATAAGAAGTTGCTCCTTGACTCTTCTTCGTCGGAAAATTCCGTCATTTTATCGTAATGTCAGAAGTATGCAAATGAAAAAAAAAATAAATAAAGAACGTTGAGTCAACAATATCAAATATAATTGAAAATGTTGATTTAAAGGTCTGCGCACAATAGAAAAAATAGTATTACGACGTATTACGAACAGGAATAAATATTAAATTTTGGAAATGAAAATTCGGAATAAAAATTAACGCACAATAAATATAAATAAATATAAAATATCATATCTTATACTTACTTACTTGTATTTATATTTAATTTTTATTCTCAATTTTTATTTCTAAATTTATTCTTGTTCTTAATATTTCTTCTATTGTACGCAGGCTTAAGTAGTCATCGCGGTCATATTGGAATTGTAATGTCATAGGTGAGAAATGACACAGTAAAATTTATTGCACCTAATTTGCAAATAAAGAAATATTTGACTAAAGCAACACTTGAAATGGCTTTAAGACACTTGTGAAAATAGATAGTTGATATCCTTCCCTTCCTGATAGTCAATAAATAGTCGTAAAAAGCATGTAAAATGAAGCTTGTTCAAGCAGAAAACACACGATTTGACAGCTGTTGAGGGAAGTGAAAAATATGCTTTTATATTAAAATTCAAAGATAACTTTTGCTCCTGTCCATTTTTATGAATTTGATGAGTACGAAACAAGTCACATCTGCACAATTAAATATATAACAACAAAATTAGGTGCAATAAAAAATTTTGTTAGCACGATATATTGAGATGAACAAGGACAAGGATAAAATAAACACGGATGATCGCGAAATTCCTAGTTGAATTCCAAGAGCCTTAATAATTAAATAAATGCATTTCTTTCATTAATATTATTGAATTAATAAGATTATTTTTTCAATTACTTTTGATGTTGTTAACTACATTATTTTACATTGTTCTTTGTGTAGAAGATTCTCAATCAATTCGTTAATTTTTGCCTCCTTTTGTCTCCATTTTTAAAATTAAATACACATAATAGATATAAGTAAAAATTACAGAGACTTTTCTCTTTTCCTCTTCCATCTATCTTTTCTATGAAATAAGAGAACTTTTCTTTTGATAGATTTTTCAAAGATACTTGCAAATGGAGAAAAAAAAATGAAATTGCAAATTTGATTGGTCACGCCATATTGCCCCGTCGCTCTCCTAATACTTTTTGAATGTCGCATAACATGTTCCAACCAATGCCACATTTTCACGGATTAAGTGGCAAAGTGATATCCTTCAATCCTCCCCCTCATTCTGCGGTTGTCAAATCGATTATTTTTGTAATATTCATATTTAACCTAGACGGAATTTTAAGCTACGAGCGCAAGTAAAATAAACGAAGAGAATGATCGCTTTCGTTCAAATCGATTCAATGTAACGCGCGGTTTACCCTATAATCGAGGGATGAGGAAATGGAAGAAAACGAGACAAGTGCGATAAAGATGCAAGTAGGTAGAGAGAGAGAGAGAGAGAGAGAGAGAGAGAGAGAGAGAAGTACGAGAGAGAGAGAGAGAGAGAGAGAGAGAGAGAGAGAGAGAGAGAGAGAGAGAGAGAGAGAGAGAGAGAGAGAGAGAAATTTCCCCCTTTTTCATCTTCCATACTTCCTATATCTTCCTTTCGTTTTTCTCTTCTCGCTGTTTCGACTTGAATATAGAATATGTTAATATAGAATATGTTAATATGCTAATATATGTTAATATAGAATATGTTAATAAAAACACAACAAAACATATTTATGTGTAAAAGATTATATATATAAATTGAATCGATATGTATATAAATTGAATTTACGGATACAACTTATGTATAGTTGCAATTGTGTTTTATACAAATTACACAAATTACACAAGTGAATATATATGAGTTTTTCATAAAATTTAATTTTTTGCATTTGAAATGAGACTTTATTCGATTTTTTTCTGAACATTTCAGATGCCAAGGTACGTAAAAGGAAAAGTGTAATTCCAGGTCTAAACAAGTCTGACATAAATGCACGAACACTCTCGTGCACAAGAATGACACAAGATGCAAAACACGGAAGATATACACGGAAGATTTACAAAGAGTAAAATATATAAATCAACGAAATAATGTATCATTTCTTTTTTTACGAGAAAAAAGTGCGATGAAAATCTGCGGAAAAATTTCAAGAGAGATTAATTCTGTTAATGAAAACAAATAACGATAATCTCGATTAAACTCCGATAAGCAATTAACTAATCAAGTGATATCCCAGATAATATAAAATTCAAAATCAAGACATCTTTAAGACGTTTTTTAGATGCTTTTCATTTAAAAAGTCTTTAAAATGTCTTATATTCCGATTTTAGACTTTGTACTATCTGGGATTTTTACCATTTGAATAGAATTTTAATCTTCTGTTTAACATTAGAAAACACCGAAATAATTTTCAACTATTCTTATATATATTTTTATTTATAAATATCTTTTCTCACAACTTGCAAATCCTTTAACTTTTCATTATAATTACTCTTTTTCTTATAGAACATTAAAATTGGAAAATTTTTAAATTCTATTTTTGATATCAAAAGGTATTAATTTATGGAGAAATAAAGATGATTACTTTATACTTCTAAAATTAAGATATCCATAAAGAAGTTTTGTTGAAGTATTCAAAAATCTAAACAGACATCTAAATCTAAAAGTAACTTTATCGGCCAATAAAAATAAATATATAGAATGTTAAAATTAATATTAAAAATGTTTCTATATTATTATCATGTCTAAGCATCCCAATAATTTTGATAGCCCAATAAAATTGTTTTCATTGTATTTAATCAAACTTTCAGATAATTCAATAAACCGTTCTTCCCATATATGAGAAAAAGAAAATAAACTAGATTTATTATGAATTATATATACGATGAGATTTACTTTAAGCGTTAAATTAATTTACACAATTGCAAGTCATTGAAGATGAAGCTACGTCACGATATGATTAAATCGTACAGTCGGCAACTGTTGGTAAGCGACACTGTCGCCGTAATATCGTATTGTGCAAGCAGCGTAATGTATGCAATTCGGTGATAATGGCATTTGTAATTTCGACATACATATACACACACGTTGTGCCAACAGTCGAAGATAACGCTTCGTTAATTCACGATCGTTTCCTAACTATCGATGAGACCGAGAGGGGAGGACTGTGCACGTTTTTTTCATTCTTTTTCATTAAAATCAAAATGATACACTGCTTGAATAATGAATAATGATAAGATAAATCAACGAACTTTGTTTTTTTTTCTATTACCACGAGATTGCCACGAGTCTTCAAGTCAGAATTGATGGAAATACCTTGCAGGATACAAAAAACAGCAAACTGATAGACAATAAAAATAAACAAAATAATATATAATGTGAATTATAATGACACATGTGACAATGGACGTACGCACGGAGGACAGAAGTTCTTAAAAGTTTAACGCAAATGCAAATCTCAGGTGTGAATGTGGAATGTGGAGACGAGGGTTAAAATCGTGCAATTACAAGTTTTAAACATAGATTTATTATTCATTTCTTGTGATCCGCACATTCACACAGACTCTCGGAGATTCTTGCGTCTCAATTTACGCATCAAGTTCGCTATTGTTTCTCCCTTTCTTCCTTTCTCTCTCTCTCTCTCTCTCTCTTTATTCTTTTTTTTCTCTTTTGAGTCGTTAATTAACTTCGTATAGCTATACTATTATACGTAAGTTATACGTAGTTGTCTTT